TATTTTGCTAAGCCTGTCCTGAACCTAGGGTTTCCAAAATTATTGTTTAATATACGAAATCTATGAATTCTGCCTCATTATCTTCAAATGTAAATAACATTCATATATAGGCAATCACATTCACAGTTCCAGTGATTTTAACCCTAGATCCTCCCCCTCACAACGAAACAGAACACTATTGTGAGTGTTACGTTGTGAAAAAAGGGAGAAAATCACAAAACAGGACCTAACCTACAGATTAATGTGATATTGAACCGTAGAAGGCAAGTATATCAGTTATTGTATCTAAATCTAGCATATAATAGACTTCGATTCACATAAATCAAACATACAAACATTTTCGCAAAAATGAAGAACAGTAAAATATCGCGAAAATAATTTGCGATTCTGTGCTTTTGAACGCTAAATCGGCGAGAATCAACTGTAATATGAAGTTTTTGTACTAAGGTTAACCTAGATCGTACCTTAGATGGGGTTATTACTGGTTGAAATGGTGAGATTTTGAAAAATTTTGCGCTTGGAGAGTGGCGGTTACTAAAGCTTTGGGAGGAAGTTACTGTAGGGTAAAAGTGGAAAAAGAACTGTGGACTGGGGTATTTATAGATTTTCCTATGGCTGTCTGGAAGGCAAGCGGAGCGCTGCCAAGTCCACTGTAATTACTTATAAAGGTATAAGAGAGGGTTTTTCAGGGCGGGTGAGCGGGTAAAGCAACACTTCTATGCACCTAAATTTGACACACAAGCGATGATGAAAGTGGTGCTGGGTGAGCGATACTGCTCCCCCAGTAAATATCAGGGTGAAATAAGCGAAGCGATGGTTGACTTGGGTCAGGCTTAGGTTAGAAGTTGAAATGATAACATTAAACTACTCCTATAAAGCGATAGTCATATTCTAATGAAAGCGATAACAAGGGTCAGGCTTAGGTTAGAAGTTAAAATGCTAACATTAAACTACTCCTATAAAACGAAAGTCCTATTCTAATGAAAACGATAACAAAACTGTAAACCTATACTATAAAAGCGATGAAATTATGAAATGTATCTATGAAAGCGATAAATTCTAACTAGGAGAGCGATAAAAGAAAGCTTGTAAATTTTAACTATGAAAGCGATAAATTCTAACTAGGAAAGCGATAAAAGAAAGCTGTAAAATTGGCGGATATAAGATTAGGCTTCTAGATTCTTTTTACGAAATTCTATCATCGAATGAGCTTCTGAACCTCCATCAGATTAATATCTGCACTGGCCTGCTGCAATACAGGCCCTTCGATATACGGTTTCAGCCTCGCTCCATTCACCAAGAAGGAGTCCTTCTCTCCGGGGGTCTCCTCATTATTAATCCTTATGGCTCCACTTGGCAGCACCTGTCTGACGATATACGGCCCAGTCCAACATGACTTCAATTTCCCTAGGAACAAATGGAGCCTAGTGTCGTATAAAAGAAATTTGGATCCCACCGTAAATTCTTTCTTCTTCAACTTCTTGTCATGATAGAATTTCATCCTTTCCTTATAGAGTTTCGCGCTTTCATATGCAAGGTATCAGAACTCAGTCAGATCGAACAATCTTTTAGCGCGCTTCTCCTGCGCTGGGAGAAGATCAAAGTTGAAATACTTGATAGCCCAATACGCGCGATGCTCTAGTTCTAGCGGTAGGTGGCAGGCTTTTCCATACACAAGCCGATAAGGGGACATTCCAATTGGAGTCTTGAAGGCTGTTCTATATGCCCACAGCGCATCATCCAATTTTTCCGCCCAATTCTTACGACTCTTATTTACTGTGGTCTGGAGGATGTGTTTGATTTCTCGATTTGAAACTTCCACTTGACCGCTTGCTTGTGGATGATAGGGGGTAGTTAGATGCTGGCGAACACCATATTGTTGAAGGCTAGATTGCAGCACCTTATTCACAAAATGGGTGCCTCCATCGCTTATTATCGTTCTGGGGACCACAAACCTTGGGAATATGGTATATTTTAGGAAACGGATCACTGATCGAGCGTCATTAGTGGTGAGCGCTTGCGCTTCAACCCACTTACTCATGTAATCCACCGCCACCAGAGTATTGTTTTCCATTAGAAGGCGGAAAGGGACCCATAAAATCTATCCCCCATACATCAAATATGTCCACAAACAAGACTCCAGTTTGGGGCATCTCATCTCTCTTCGAGATAGATCCCAATCTTTGACATTTGTCGCAAGATTTGGCAAAGGCATTTGCGTCTCTTTGTAGGGTAGGCCAAAAGAAGCCTGACTGCAAAACTTTGGGCGCTGTGCGCATGCCAGCAAAATGCCCACCTACATGGGACCCATGACATTTGTTCAAGATCAGCGGGATCTCAGACTCCGCTACACAGCGACGGATTATCCCATCTGAGCCGATGTTGAACAAATAAGGTTCATCCCAAAAATAATCCTTTGCCAAACTGAGCAATCTCTTCTTTTCCCGTTGTACAGTGTGCGCTGGAAACTGTCTTGTAGTTAAGAAGTTAGCCAGGTCAGCGAACCAAGGCTCCTTCGCTTGCACCAGAAACAGCTTCTCGTCTGGGAATTGTTCATTGATTCCTGGAGATTTGTCCTCCTCTTGCCGCAACCTACTGAGGTGATCCGCCACATGATTTTTTTTCCCCTTCTTATCCTTGATCTCTATGTCGAATTCCTGGAGCAACAAAACCCATCTAATCAAGCGGGCCTTTGTCTCCTTCAAATATTTAATGGTTGCATGGTCAATGTGAACAATGGTCTTGCTTCTGATAAGATACTGTCTGAATTTCTCGAAAGTGAAGACAATAGCCAGCAGCTCTTTCTCGGTGGTAGTGTAATTCTTCTGAGCGGAGTCTAGTGATTTACTTGCGTAATAAATGACATTGAGCTTAGACTCCACCTTTTGTCCTAGTACAGTGCCGACGGCATAATCACTCGCATCCGTCATCAGCTCGAATGGCTCACTCCATACTGGTGCTGAAATTATAGGAGCAGAGGTTAGCTTATCCTTCAGTATTCGGAAAGCCTCCTCACACTCGCTTGACCAGTGAAATTGAGAATCCTTGCACAGCAGCGATGTGAGTGGTTGTGTGATTTGACTGAAGCCCTTGATAAAATGATGGTAGAATCCTGCGTGGCCAAGGAAACTTCGTACTCCTTTTCATTCGAGGGCGCTGGCATTTTTTCGATTACACTAACCTTGGATCTATCCACCTCAATACCGGCTGATGAGATTTTATGGCCCAAGACAATTCTTTCATTTACCATGAGGTGACATTTCTTCTAGTTCAGCACGAGATCAGTCTCAATGCAGCGGAGAAGCACTTTTTCCAGATTATTCAGGCATTTGGAAAATGTCTTGCCATATACCGAGAAATCATCCATAAAAACTTCAATACAGGAGTCCAGGAGATCGCTGAAGATATGGTACATACATCGCTGGAACGTGGCCGGAGCATTGCAAAGCTCGAACGGCATCCTCCTATAAGCGAAGGTCCCATATGGACAGTATATGTTGTCTTCTCGCAGTCCTCCGGTTTGATGGGAATTTGATGGTAGCTCGAGTAGCCATCGAGGAAACAGTAGTATTCGTGACCTACGAGCTTCTCAAGGCATTGATCAAGAAAGGGAAACGGGAAATGATCCTTCTTTGTGGCTGAATTCAATTTTCTGTAGTCGATGCAAACCCTCCATCCAGTGACAGGTCTTGTCATGAAGACCTCCCCGTCGTCGCTTGTCTGTTCAATGAATCCTCATTTCTTAGGAACCACCTGGGTTGGGCTAACCCATTGGCTGTCACTGATAGGGTATATGATTCCTGCATTGAACAATTTGATCACCTTCTTCTTGACTACTTCTTGCATATTTTCGTTCAAACGCCGCTGAGGCTGTCTGCATGGCTTTGCATCAGCGTCCAGCTTATATGTTGCATACACACCGCTGGGCTGATTCCTTTGATGTCTGAGATTTTCCATGTAAATGCCGCTTGTTTCCTTTTGAGAAGTGAGATGAGCTGAGCCTCTTGGCCCGGCAATAGTAAGGCGGAGATTATCAGCGGGTAACTCTCCTCTGGGCCAAGGAATATATATTTGAGGTGCTCAGGTAATTTCTTCAGCTCATCCTTATTGTTGGCCTCGCTCGCTGGTCCCTCATCGCTTGTTCAATGGATTCAGTGGGCGCTTGAGTCTCGTCGCTTGCCTCAGCTGAATCCTTTTTATCTTCCAGTTCGAGCGATCTATTATCTGAAATTCCTTCTAGATTTTCAAGTGTAATATGGTTCTCAAAAGTTATTATTTCATTTAACTCATTAATAAAATTACAATTTTCTTCCTAGGGTTGGCGCAATGCTGAATTCATGGAAAATGTGACTTTATCGCCACCTAAACTCAATGAGATTTTTCCTTCAGCAACATTTATTGTGGCTTGAGCGGTGGCTAGGAAAGTTCTCCCCAATATGATTGGAATGTCGCGGTCTTCGCTCATTTCCATGATAATGAAATCTGCAGGGAAAATAAATTTGTTTACTTGCACGAGTACATCACGAATAATTCCTTTAGGCAATCTTATTGATTTATCGGCAAGCTGAATTACAGTTCTGCATGCTTCTAACTCATAAAGCCCTAATTTAGAGAAAAGCGAAAAGGGCATAAGATTGATACTAGCTCCTAAATCACATAATGCCCTAATCGGCTCTAAATTTCCTATTGTACAAATAATGATAAAACTCCCAGGATCGCTGAGTTTCTTTGAAAAGTCTTCCTTAAACACGGCGCTGCACACACTTTCCAGCTGCATCGCTGCCACTTCATCAGGAAATGCCCTCTTGCGATTGATTATATCTTTGATAAACTTAGCGTAATGTGGCATCTGAGACAAAGCATCTGCAAACAGTATAGTAATTTGACGACTACGGAAAGTATGTACAAACTTATCAAACTCATTGGAGTTGTCCTTTTTCCCAAGTCGTGTGGGAAAGGGGGCTCGAGCCAAATGCTGAGCGGGACCCTTCTCCTTCGGTTCATACTCCCGAGCGGCCTCGAGGTTGGGATAGACCTTCCTCCTTAGACGGAATCTGTTTTAATTCATCCTGCACAGGCACATTAGTAACAATAGAGGAAGGAGATTGATCAATACCTCTGTCTGGCAGCGGTGGCGATTGCTTCCGTTTTCCTCCTCTGGTTTCGATGGCCTTCGCTTGGTTCGGGACAGTCTCGACTGTCCTAGGCAACGTTCCTTTTTGCTTCAACTTCAGAGCTTCAGCAATCTGCCCGACTTGAACTTCCAGCATTTTGATCGAAGCAAATGTATTTCTTTGGAACTCTTGATTCGCTCGCTCTGTGTTCCTCCAGAGTTCCTCCAGACTCTGCGGTGCTTGTGCCGCTGTGGGAGGTTGAGTGAATGCAGGTGCCTGCTGCGGGAAATGGGGGATTTGATAGTATTGTTGTTGATGTGGATAATATCCCCCTTGATGATATTGTTGCGTAGCGAACTGTTGTGGCCTCTGAAATTGTTGCTGACGACGCGGTCCAGCGGGGCCTTGAGCCCGCCCCTTTTGGAACTGCTGGAATTGAGGGGCATTTCTACCAGCCATATAAATGACCTCCGCTGGGTTCTGAGCTTCATCGTTTGAGCACTCAGCAACCTGCGGACCTTGTTGGTCTTCATAAGCTCTTTCCTCGCATTCCACAGCCTCATGGAGCGCCTGTTTTCCTTTATTACGCAGGTCCTGCTTCATGAGCTTAGACAACTCCTTAACTTGGATCGACAGACTATCGATCCTTGCATCGTGAGATACGAAAGCAGGAACCTGGTATAGACCCCTTGATGGCTCGGGCCTGTTGGACTCTGGCCAACTTGATTGATTGGCCGCCATTTTTTCGATCAAAGCCCTCGCTTCAGAGGCACAGCGCCCCATCAGCGAGCTTCCTGCCGCTGCATCCAAGGACATTCTAAGTTCAGGAGTAATTCCTAAGTAGAAAATTTGAAGCTCCATGAAGTCCGGGATTTCATGATGAGGGCAGTTGCGGAGCAACTGTTTGAATTGGCTCCAGGCTTTAGGAAGGGTCTCATCACTCGCCATCTTGAAAGTGAGTATTTCATTCCTCTAGCGAATGGTCTTTGAAACAGGATGGTATTTACTCACGAAGGCCTACGCTGCTTCCTTGAATGAGCCAGGAATGGGATAGAGGTTATCAAACCATTTCCTGGCCTCTCCTGTTAAAGAAAAGGGAAACAGAATCAGTTTGGCAGCATCCTCCGTGATGCCGTGCGATTTGGAGGTGGCAGCGATCCTATTGAAGTTCTGTAGGTGCTTATAAGGTCTTTCATTGAGCAGCCCATGAAATTGACTATGGCTCGCCAGGCTAACGAGCGCTGGTTTCACCTTATAATGGCCAGAGCCTCTGGGCGCATAACTTGTAATTAAAGTATGATCCAGAAGGGACTCGTAGTGAACGTCCATGGGGACTTCAACAAGCAGGCGATCAGCAGCCCTGTGTCCCTCAGCCCTCTGGTAAGGCTCAGCAGTAGGTGGTAGGGGGTGATGGTTGCGGGCATCGTAGAGGTGTTGGCAGCTTGTGCCGCTTGGGAAGCGATAAATGCTCCCTGCGCAGCTTGAGCTTGTTCCACCTAAGCGAGGTGCGCTTGCAGCCTCGCCATTCCCTGTTGGATGCTACTGAGGGCTCTCAATAGTTGCTCCTCAGTCTGTGAAAGTGCAGGGGGAATGGCAGCCGGGACCACAGTGGGGACGTGGAGCGGCACCTCCTGCGAAGATGCAGATGTGGCGGAGTTTGAAGATGCCCCAACGGCAGTCTGAAAAGCTGGGACAAAAGTAGAAGGAGCGGTGGCATTTCCTTGATTCGCCATGAGTTGTTCTCGCACTTGCTCTCTAAACAGACATCTCTGTGATCGAGCAGAAGGAGTAGGACTCGTGGGACGCTGAAAACGCTTCGGACCCCTACAAAATGGCAGCCACACCAACATAAAAGTTAGAAAATAAGTTTAAACACAAAGGTCACGAGTACAACGAATTTAATATAAATTATGGCACTTCAAAAGATTGTCAACAGATACTTTTCATGAGTTTCAAACCCCGGCAACGGCGCCAAATTATGATAACTAAAATTTGTTATAGTAATTTTTATACAAAGTCACAAGGAATTTTCTTCGAAAATCAATGAGTAGGATTTTATAGGAAAGCGATCAGATATAGAAATTGTGTGGTTGTAGACCCTGAGTAGTTATCACAATTATTTATACTCTTTTTACTGGTGAGTTTCCAGGTCGAACACAAGGATTTTAAGTCATGAATTTCAAAGGTGAAAATCTAGAAGAAAGCGACGAAAAATGCAAGAAAGGATCCGCTTGCAGCGGATCCGAAGTTTAACTACTGAAAAGCGGTAAATAAAGCAATAAAGATGAGGTGAGCGGAAGCGAGTGAAGCGGAGGCGGGAAGTGAAGTGCCAGCGATAACCAGATGATCGGGACATGGGCGGAAGTGTGGACCAGATGAGCGGGACATGGATGAATTGCGGTTACCAGATGATCGAGACATGAGAGAGTGGCACATTATATATATGTATATGAGCGAATTAGAGTGAAGGAGAGGTGTTGTATCTGATCTGTGCGTTACTAAATGGATAGATTTTCTTAGATGTAGTAAGCGAATGATGTAAGTGTGTTATCGGAAGAGTATATGTATATTATGGAAATGATGGGAGGAAGATGTTGTAATTATATAAACTAAATTGTAAAAAACTTATAACACTGGAATTTTGACCTGGGGGGGATTTACAACAAGACTTCAATGACACCCAAAATTAAGACATTATAAGAAAGAAACCCTACTGTCACTAGGAATCTCTGTGACCTAATAGACCCCCGCCTATGTCCCATTAATTTTTTCAATTTCTGCCTCATTAGTGGCTTTACCCCCTGATGTTACTACTATTTAATCAAAATCGAATTTAGCACAATAGTTAAGCAGGTCGACAAGGCTCCCGCGTACTTAACTACATTGAACTACCTTGAGACCGCTTTTGGCGCATAACAAGGCTTAGATAATCAATTCTTTTCTCGCTCTAAACCAGTGAAATGAAATTCTCTAAATTTGATTTATATAAGTGTGGAACAATGTGGAAGAATTAGTTTGAAGAAGTGAGTGATATTCCTTTATATACTACGAAAGCGTGAAAGATTAAAATTACAAAAGCTGTAAACGAAAGCAGTAATCTAATCTAAAAAAGCAATAAAGACGTGACCAAGGGAGAGGGAAAACCCCTGCTCCCTTGGCCATTCCTGTGAGAACTCCCTTACATGGTTGGAGCTCTCTGAAAAAGGAAGACAACGAATGCTAAAGTATGCAGAAATCACCAAAAAATTCGATCTCCTACATAAAGATATCTGGCCCTATTTATAGCAGGTGCAAAGAGACGGTTGCAAGCAGTTGCTAGGCGGTTCCAACCACTGGGCAGTTAGGCGGTTGCTGGTAATTATTCTGTTGAAACAGTTGCTGGCCATAACTCCCAGGGTGCCTGTTTCGCTTGCGTTGAAGGTTAAGGGCACAGACCTTCCTCGCTTGCTGGAGAGAATGAGGGCATCAGCGCAGCTCGGCTCGCTTGTGCTGGCTAGAATTGGAATGGCTGTACCGCTGCAGCTGAAGTACTTAGGGTGTGTTTGTTTGGGGGTTTGGATTTTGGATTGAGATTTGAATAGTAAAAATTTTGAATTTGAATAGTTGTATGATGTGATATAAATAGGGTTTGATGTGATGTTTTGAATGTAAAATTGATTTTTAATATAATATAAAAAATGAAAAATAGGTATTTGATTTGATGTTTTTGGGGGGAAAAAATTAAATGAATAGTGGAAATCCTCCAAAATTCTTCAAACAAACACACCCTTAGTTGAAATATGGTGATAGTCTGCAGCGGTGGGTATCTCGACTGTCGCTTGCAAGCGGGAGAGGCTATCGCTTGCGGGCGGTGAAGGTGGCCGCTTGCCTCTCATGGCTTAGTATTTTCAAAGTGTGTCCTGGGCGCTTGCGAGCGAAGGCGGCTGTCGCTTGCGGCGTCTGCCTTAGCTTTTTTGGTTCCAGATTACAGCTTAATAGGCAAAAATCGTTAATAATCTCAACAACGAACTCTGAATCATGCCAAGTGATATAAATTAATATTGTATGCCATTTACGAATTATTTTGATGATTCTTATGCAAAGATTCGAATAATACACATTTTTGTCAAGCTAAGAATATGCTCATATTTGGAGTCATCAAACACCATTTGATTGATGTGAGTAAGGTGGAGTTACTTTGTAAGTGATTCCATTTTGTGCAAAAAATTCACCGATCGGAGTTTCATATTCTCTACCTCTATTACTTCGAATTCGTTTAACCCATTTGTTAAGTTGGTTTTCCACTTCATTTTTGTACAAAATATATTTACTTAATTTCTCATCTTTTATTTTAAGTAAGTACACATAATAGTATTTTCTACAATCATCAATAAATGTAATAAAATATTTAAGGTAAATTATTTTTTTAGTCCCGTAACTGGACTCCCTTATCATTTTAGTCCTGTAAGTGGAGTCTGTTGCAAACTAGTCCCAAAAGTGAAAATTTTCCGTTGTTTTAGTCCTCCGGCGCCGGAGACGCCCGCGTGGCTAGCCGGAAGCCACGTGTCCGCCAGGTGTCCCACCAAGTCAGCGACACCTGGCGGACACATGGAATTTTTAATTTTTTTAAATTTTTTTAATTTTTTAAAATTGGACCAAAAAAAAAATTAAAAAAGGCAAATAAAATTTAAAATAAATTTAAAAAAATAAAATAAAATCCACGTGTCTGCCAGGTGTCGCTGACCTGGCGGACATGTAGCCTCCAGCGAGCCACGCGGGCGTCTCCGGCGTCGGAGGGCTAAAATAGCAAAAAAAATTCAGTTATGGAACTAGTTTGTGACAGGCTCCACTTACGGGACTAAAATGATAAGGGGGTCCAGTTACGGGACTAAAAAAATAGTTTACCCAAATATTTATTACCACCTCGTGTTTGTACAAATTTTAAATCACATACGTCATTGTGAATTAATTCGAGTGTTCAGTTTCACGGTGAATCGTTTGGAAAGACGATCGAGATTATTTTGCTTAAACACAAATTTCACATTTATGTTTATTTAATTCGAACCTTGGAATGTGGTTCAGGTTAATTAATCGATGAATTGAATCATAATTAACATGACTCAATCGACTATGCCATAAAGTAGAGGAATCAACAATATAAGCAACAGACTTATTATCTATTACTTTCAACGACAGTCATAATACAACATTTCAAAAGTCCATCCTCCACACAATGTTTACCACATACACTTCTAATTTATTCAAAATAAAATTATCACCATTCATATTAATATTAAAGCTATGTTTTATCAGGAGCATCCCCAAGACCAGGTTCTTCGTAATTGTTGGCACGTACAGGACATTGGTCAGCGTCAAAACTCTTCCAAACGTCATCTTCAGAAGCACCTTTCCCCTTCTCTTGATTTCAGCAGAAGCAGCATTTCCTATGTACATCGTTTCTCCTTCGACATGCTCGAATGAGGAGAACTGATTCCTGTCCATGCAGATATAGCGTGTTGCTCCTGTGTCGCCACTATTGTTTCTTGTTCAATCATACCAGGTTTGCCTCAGAGACAACACATGTCAAGTCAAGTGGCTGTTCCTTTTTAGTAGCGATGTGTGCCTGGTTCGTCTCTTTCTTTCTTTTTGGTGCCTTGCAGTCTATTGAACGGTGTCTGACCTTTCTACAATTAAAATAATTACCTTTGAAGGTACTTTTTTTGCCTTTTCAATGCCGCCAGATGGCTTCAGCTTATCTTTTCCCTTGTCCGTTGGCTTCCTGTTCTTTCCAGGCTGCTCATTGTTTTTTGGAGCATTCTTGAAACAAGAGCCTTGACCTTGGTGTTCGACTAGATTGGTCTTGCTGCGAAGCATTAGAAGTCCCTTGCTTCCTAGGTTTGATCTATGCTCCTCTTCAGTTTAAAGACGATTGATTAGTCTCACCATGTCTATTTCCTTCCGTTTGTGCTTTAAGTAAATTTTGAAATCACCCCAACTAGGCGATAATTTCTCAATTATTGTTGCCGCTTAGAAGGCTTCACTCAGCTCCATCCTCTCGGCCTGGATTTAATACAGAATCAGCTAAAGCACATCAAGATGCTTCGTAACTCTTTTTCCGTCCATGATTTTGAAATCCCAAAACTGTCCGATGATAAATTTCTTTGCACCTGCATCCTCGGTTGTGTACTTTTTCTCCAGCATCTCCCACAGCTGCTTAGCCGTTAACGCATGCCGGTAGACACCGTACAGGGAGTTGTTCAAGCTGTTTAGTACATAATTTTTTACACATAAAATCTGAACGATTCTAAGCTTTCAGAATTTGTACTTTTTATTCTTCCGAGGATCCTTCAGGCACAACTGGTGCATCCTCCATCAGCCAGTCTGCCAGATTCAATGTGGTCAAATAAAACATCTTTTGCTGCTATGTTTTAAAATTCTGCTCGTTGAATTTTTCTGGTTTTTCGGTTGCCGCAGCAACAAACTGCCTAAAAGTTGTAGCAACAGGTTGTATTACATGGTCCGTAACAGCAATAGGTTGTATACCCTCCGACTCATCTAGTTGCTGTCTGGGAGACGCAACGAGACCCTGTGCAAGTCCTGTAGCCATACGCTGCAGATGAGGCAGAACAACAACAAGTTGTTTCAGTCGGGCATAAACAGGATGCCGTTTCCACAGTCGAGCAATAGGCTGGTTGGAGGTCACAGCAACAGACTGCGCTCCCTCCATTGCGGCCTTAAAGGCCTGTTCGTACGCTTCCTTCGCAGCATTTTTCGCAACAGCCCTCCTGGCCGCCCCGCACACTTCACGTCTGGCAGCAGCGATTTCAGCGGCTTCACCGGTTGTGCGGGGTGGTTGAGATAATGGAACCATGAGAGCGGAAGTGTGAGACTCGCTGGAATTCACCTACTCGTTCTCGTCTCCGTCTGCAACGTTCTGAGCATCATCATTTATATCATTTACATTTCTGTCAGGATCGTTCATCACATCGATCATTGCCTCATCTTCATGTACATTTTGGGTAGCCGCGATCTGATCGTGGATCTGAGGTATTTTGGCAGCCATCTTAGATTTTCACTCAACGAAGTGTGGGAAGTTGCTTCAAGATTGTTGTCTCCTCAAGCAAAAATCTGAGAACTCATAGATCCGGAATTACAAATTTGGTAACACCGAAATCTAAGCCTCGCGTTGGACGCGATCTCCTTGAAGCAAATTTGGCCCGCAATGGATTGCTTCCCAGGATAGAACAGATTAGATTGGAATCTTCAATTCCACAACAAACCGAACCAAAAAATTTAATGAATTTTTGTTAAAGAATTATGAGAGTGTGATTTTGGAATGTGAACAAAGTGAATGATAAAAAAAAAAAAGGCATAGTTGATTCATGTGTAGGGTTTTTCGTAAGTTATGTATTTAATTTATTACGAAGAATGTTAAATTATAACAAGCCACATAACCCGTAGCTTCCCTCCACATGTTGCAATTTATTGTAATAATCTAGCTTTATCTAATTAATTCAAATTATTTTACACAGTAAAAAATAATTAATCAGATAAAACAAATAATTGAATTAACTTTTATTCAATTTGGGCTTAATCCATAGGTCCCCACAGCCCAAGGCCCATCTTTGACTAATTAATATAATCATGCCAAGGTTATGCCAAGCCCAAACCCAAGCCCAAGCCTATCCAATTCAATACAATCTAAATTAATCCGTTTACCATAAATAAGACCATAATAAATACATTTAAGGGAGTTACCCACTTGTTATCTAAGTACAATATTTGATAGGATACCTAACAAATTGAACAATTTTCTAATTTTCTTCACAAGAGAACCAATTTCTTTCAAACTATCTTGTACAACCAAATTGAAGATATGAGCAAATGCATCTCATGTGCATATGTTTACAATTTCTAATGTTTTCACCCCATTGATTGATCGTTTATTTTTAAAAAAAATAGGGCAATATCATTTGATGAAGTATTATCAACAGTAACAGTGAACACCTTATCAATACCCCAATCATGCAAGCATGTTTCAATTTTTCAAGCAATGTATCTACCCCTATGACTAGAAATTTGACATAAATTGAGAATATATTTGACAATTTCCAATCATTAACAATATAATGACCTATCAAACACATGTAATTCTCTTTTTGAATCGAAGTCCATGTATCAGTAGTAAGACATGCTATTTGATTTGTAGATTTCAACAATGTCATCAACAAATTTTTCTCATGCTTGTACACCTTAAAATAATCATGTGAAATTGTCCATCTAGATGGAATCTTAAATTTAGGACAAGCCTTAGACATAAAGTATTAGAATCTCTCTATTTCAACAAACTTAAAGGGTAACTCATCAATAATAATCATATGAGCTAAGGCATTCCTAACTTCTTCTTAATCAAAACTCCATGCACTAAGACATTAACTTTGTCCAGATGGCGAAATCAATTGTGATTGCGTAATATCTATACTTGAGATTTTTTTTTCCAAATGAGCATTAAGTGTAATGGTCCCATTTTTAGAATTACCGTCAAATATTCTCCCACAATGCACACACTTAGCTTTCTCTTTCGTATCTTTATCTATAAAATACTGAAAATAATCCCAAATTTGTGATCTATTCTACATAGCTTTTCTCTTTTTACTATTGGATTGAGTAGGTTGAGAAGTTCCACCACATCCATCGCCATCATGCGTAGTATTATCAACAGATAATCCAGGTGCACAAGTGCTTTAAGATGTATATTCAAACATTCAATGTTATTTGACATCTTCAAGAAAATAGTTTCAAAAGGATCTAGTGAGTTAATAATTCCTTTATTGCAAAAAATATATATGAATACAAATAAATAATAAAAAAAACTTACATTACAACTTGCTTCCGAATAATCTATGGTGTAGGACCTGCTGGTGAATATAGTGGACGTAAAAAGCTTCTATTTTATAGTAAATAACCAACAATAAGAATATATAAATTAACATCATATGTCAATATTGTAAGATAAATAATGCGATTCAATATAAAAAAAAATTAAAAATCTACATAAAAAAATTAAAGTTACAGATTAAACATCAAATAGCACATTTACAAAAGTATTCAATATTTCAATATACAAATTCAACAAACAACAAATTTCAGTGGTAAAATACCAAAATATAAAATAACTTAGGAATCCAAGAGTAGTAATAATTTCAAACAAACAATACATCAATATAAGAAAATCAAAAAAACAACCGAAATAATCAGAAAAAGCAATAATTTAAACTCACAAGAAGTAAAAAACCCACCGAAGTGACCGAACCAAACTGAAGCAACAACGAGAAGCAATATTGCGACCGAACCCAACCGAAGCAGTAGCGAGAAACAATGTTTTTGGACGGTGCGAACCCAACCGAAGCAGTAGCGAGAAACAATGTTTTTGGACGGTGGAAAGAAATAGAGGTAGGAACGATGGCGAAGAATGGGCGATGGTAGCAAGCAAGAAGGAGATAGGAACTATGGCGGCGGTCGGCGGGGTTGGGAGAACGACTCGACTCGAGAGAGAGACTAGGGTTTCGTCTAATCGGCTGGAAAATCAATTGGGTATTTGGGTTTGTTACTGTTTATTAATTGATAATTATATAATTATATTTCATATTTTATTTTCTTTTAATATTTTATGAAAATAATAAATATACATTATAAAATAATAAATAATACTTCATCCGTCCCAATTCAAAATATCTTTTTTACCATTTTTATTTATCTCACTTCAAAGTATTTCTTTTCTATTTTAGAAAATATAATCATACATTAATACCAAAATACCCTTATCTTTTACTTAAATTACAACTATACAATTACACATACAATTACTTTATACAATTACACATACAATTACTTTATACATAAAGTCAAAGGACAAAAATATCAAAAACTCTTGCACACTTCCACTAACTAATAAAAATAATATTACTCGCTCTGTCCCATATAATATGGGTGTATAACGGTAGATGCGGAAATTTATGTAAAGTATAATTAGTAAGTAATTAAGAAATTTATTAGTAAAAATAATTATTGTATAGTAAAAATAATTATAGGTTAAGATTAAGATAACTAAATAGTTTAATTAAAATTTCAAAAAATTCTAAAATTTAAAATTTAAAATTTAATTAAAGTGTATAATTATATTTTCAAAAAAGGAAATGACAAATTATGTGGACCGAACGAAAAATAGAAAATATGGACAAATTATGTGGGATTGAGGGAGTATTTCTTAATCTATTACAAAACCCCAAAGGCCCCATTTGATTAGGAACGGAGGGAGTAATAAGTATATTAATATATAATTAGTAATTTTATTTTTATATATTAATAAAATATTAAATATATGATAAATTATAATTTGTATTTCGGATTGGATTGGTTTCTTAGTACACCAATCCGATCTAATCCAAAAATTCAAAATTTCTGAAATTTTCAATCCGAACCGATCAAAAAATCCGGACCGAGTTTTAAATTTTAGTTTGGTTCGGATTGGATATTCGGATGTCAAACATTTTGCTCACCCCTACCGTCAGTTACAATGAACCGAATACAAAAAATCAAATTCAAGTTTTCAGACCGCTTTTACTTTTTATTGTTAAATATTTTCGTCTTAAAATTTTATGATCACAATAAAAGAAACATATTGAAAACACCAAATAAGAGATTTTATCATTTTCCTTCGATGAGGATAAATGATTATTAGAAAAGGCATGGTGAATTATGAGACACTGAGCTCTTCATTGATGGTTATCATCCCCACAATAGAGGATGCTTCTAACTAATGTCTATCGTACACTGGGGTTGGGTTGACATTATGCAATCTAAAACTGAATCATTTCTTCAATTTGATCCAGAATTAACCAACATCTTTATCTAGGAATTATTAAATATTTTCGTTTATGAGTATTTTCGTTTATTAGTCATCATTATATAGGCTCGTAATCGTTCGATAACAATAAAATTCCAACAAGCGTGCCTATGGCAGAGGGATTTTAGGTCATGTTAACAAACACAATAAGAGTAATCCACTTTCAACTTTTTCAAATAATGTCAATGATAACTCTAAATATGAGCATATTCTCTACTTAACAAAACTATGTATTACTTGAATTTTGGTATGAAAACCATCACAATATCTGATTATGGCATACTTTATTGATCTATTCATCTTGGGATGATCCAGAATTAGTTTGTTGAGATTATTAACGATTTTTGTCTTTTTAAGCGGTGATTCTAGTCCAGAAAAGCTAAGGCATGAAAAGCAAGTGATGGCCATATCCGCTCAACAAGCGACGCTCTCATCGCTCATGTCTCCGCTGCGACACCCATCATCATCGCTCCCCCTCTACTTACTGCTGAGCCTAACCAGAGGCAAGAGGGACAAATGGTTGTTTATCGTCCGCTTGCTGAAGTCCCCATGGACGTTCACTATCAGTCCCTCATGGATAGCACTTTGATCACTAGTTCTGCGCCCAGAGGCTCTGGGCATTATGAGGTGAAGCCAGCGCTAGTAAGCCTAGCCAACCAAAGCCAATTTCATGGGCTACTCAATGAAAGCCCATATGATCATCTGCAGAACTTCAATAGGATTGCTGCTACCTCCAAATCGCACGACATCACAGAGGACACTGCAAAGCTAATTTTGTTTCCATTTTCTTTATCAGCGGAGGCAAGGAAGTGGTTTGATAACCTCTACCCTATTCCTGCCACTTTCAAGGAAGCAGCACAGGACTTCGTAAGTAAATATCATCCTGTGTCAAAGACCATCAGCCAGAGGAATGAGATACTAAGTTTCAAGATGGCTGGTGATGAGACCCTATCCAAAGCTTGGAGCCACTATAAGCAACTGCTCCGCAACTACCCTCATCATGAAATTCCTGACTTTATGGAGCTCCAGATCTTCTACTCAGGCATCACTCCAGAGTTGAGGATATCTCTGGATACAGCGGCAGACAGCTCGCTGATAGGGCGATGTGCTTCAGAAGCGAGGGCTTTGATGAAAGGATGGCGGCCAATCAAACTAGTTGGCCAGAGACCAACAGTCTAGAGCCGTCAAGGGGTCTTTACCAGGTTCCTGTTACGGTCTCACAAGACGCTAGGATTGACAGTTTGTCGGTTCATATTAAAGAGCTTTCCAACCTCGTAAAGCAGGACCTCAGTAATAAAGGAAAACAAGTAGTAAATGAGGCCATGGTTACTGAGGAGTGCGCCTACGTTAATCAATCTAGCCCGCAGGTCGCTGAGAGCTCATCTGAGCAGAATCAGAACGTAGTGGATGTTTTCTATATTGCGAATAGAAATTCTCCTCATTTTCAACAATTTCAGAAGGGGCACATTCAAGGGACCGATGGACCACGTCCTTGGCAACAATTTCAACAGCCACAACCATTCACTGAGCAACAATATTATCAAGGGGGATTTTATCCACAACAACAATATTTTTAGATCCCTCATTTTACGAGCAGGCACTTGTCTTTGCTTAACCTTCCACAGCAGCTCAATAGCCACTGAGTCTGGATGAGCTCTGGAGGAATACTGAGCGGGAAAATCAGGAGTTCCAACGTAATAAGTCTGCCTCGATCAAGATGCTAGAGATTCAGGTCGGGCAGATAGCTGAAGCTATGAAGCTGAAACATAAAGGGACGTTGTCTGGGACAGTCGAGACTGTTCCGAACTAAGCGAAGGCTGTCAAAACGAGTGGTGGAAAGTAGACGCAATCGCCCCCACTGCCAGACAGAGGTATCAATTTCTCTTCTACTCCTATTGTTGCTAATTTACCTGTGCCGGATGAAGATAGACAAATCCTAAGCGAGGAAAAAGGTCCATCCCACATTACGCTAAGTTCGTAAAGGATATAATCAATCGAAAATGGGCATTTCTGGATGAAGCTGTTGCGGTGCAATTGGAAAATGTGCGCAGTGCCATATTTAATGAGGACCTCCCGAATAAATTAAGCGATCCTGGGAGTTTTATGATTATATGTACTATTGGAAATGTAGAACCGATTAGCGCATTATGTGATTTAGGAACTAGTATCAATCTTATACTTTTTTCGCTTTTTAGTAAATTAGGGCTTTATGAGCTTGAATCATGCAGAACTGTAACACAATTTACTAAGAAATTTTAAGACTCCCGAAAGGGATTATTCATGACGTATTGGTGCAAGAAAACAAATTTATTTTCCCTCCAGGTTTCATAATAATGTAAATGAGCGAAGATCATGAAATTCCAATTGTTCTGGGAAGACCTTTCCTGGCCACCGCTCAAGCAACTATTAACGTCGCTCAAGGCGAAATAACACTAAGCATAGGTGGACATAAAGTCACATTTTCTATGAACAATGTCATGCATCAACCTCAGGAAGAAAATTTTGATTTTATTGATGAGTTGAATGAATTATCAACTTTTGAGAACTTTTTAACATTTGAAGCTCCGGAAGAAATTTCAGATAATGGTTCGCTCGAGCTGGACAATATTTTGGGCTCTGGTAGGCAAAGCGATAGGGTAATACCTCCCACTGAGTTCATTGAGCAAGCAAAGCGAGAGCCAGAGAGTGAGGTCTGCATTAAGGATGAGTTGAAAAAACTACCTGAGCACCTCATATATATTTATACCTTGGTCCGGAAGAGACTTACCCGCTGATAATTTCCGCCTAACTATAGCCGGACCAAGAGACTCAGCTCGTATCGCTTCTCAAAAGAATACAAACAGCTTTTGCATGGAGGATATCTGATATAAAAGGAATCAGCCCAGCGGTGTGTATGCACTATATCAGACTGGATACTGATGCGCGGCCATGCAGACAGCCTCAACGGCGTCTAAATGAGAATATGCATGAGGTAGTGAAGAAAGATGTAATCAAACTTTTCGATGCAGGAATCATCTATCCCATAAGTGACAGCCAATGGGTTAGCCCAACCAAGGTGGTCCCCAAGAAATGAGGCTTTGTCGAGCAGACAAGCGACGAAGGGGAGGTTTTTATGACAAAACTTGTCACTGGATGTAGAGTATGCATTAAGAGGTTGAATGCAGCAACCAAGAAGGATCACTTCCCCCTACCGTTCCTTGATCAATGTCTTGAGAAGCTCGCAGGACACAAATACTACTGTTTCCTCTATGGCTACTCAGGCTACCATTAGATTCCCATCAAACCGGAGGACTATGAGAAGACAACATTTACGTGCCCATATGGTACGTTCGCTTATTGGAGGATGCCATTTGGGGTTTCCAATGCCCCAGCCACCTTCCAGCGATGTATGTATCATATATTCAGCAATCTTTTGGACTCCTGCATTGAAGTCTTCATAGATGATTTCTCGGTGTATGGCAAGATATTTTCCCGATGCCTGAATAATCTGGAAAAAGTGCTTCTCCGTTGCATTGAGACTGACCTCTTGCTTAACTAGGATAAGTGTCATTTAATGGTAAATAAATGAATTTTTCTAGGCCATAAGATCTCGACTGCCGGAATTGAGGTAGATATATCGAAAGTTAGTGTAATCGAAAATATGCTAGCACCCTCGAATGAGAAATGAGTAAGAAGTTTCCTTGG